TTCTGACCAGTACTCTATCGACTATGAGTTATTAGTAATTGCTGTATAAACAGTTATTGGATTATCATCAAGTGATTCTCTTTTCCTGTTATCTATATTCATCATTCCTAATAAATCACTTATTTTATTAATGCTCAGTACAAGGTCCTCAGACTCACCGATCACATGCACGGCACCAAAAACCCATCTGTAAACTCTATATTGCAACAGATCCGCAGGTGCTACGCCTTACAGTAGCGAGTACCACTGTGTATACCGAGCTTGAGAGAAAATGGTCTAATACATAACTCTGCCTTGGCACTTGAAGGCATCCCTACAGCGTCATTGCCGCTGAACCTCATCGTCGATTGTTCCAGCGATCTGTAGTTATCTGATAATTTTTTTTCGATTATCAAATCTCCTTCCTTCCCTTCCCCTCCCCCTCCCTCTTCTCGTCTTCCTTCCGCTGCCCCGTTTTTGTGATAAAATACTGCAGTTCACTTTTTATTTTTACCTATTTTCTTATTTGGCATAAATGTGGGTTTTTTTTTTTGAAAAATATTTTTTCTCTCGCCAAGGTTTCTTAGAGATATTATCTCAGCAGTATCGCCGACACCGCACCTACACGCCATTTTTCCGAGCCACCATGACAATTTTGATAAATATTTTCGCGAAAAAGCATCGCTACTGGCATTATTAATAAGTAATGCGCTGATTATCTCCCTTGTGTATTCCAGCAATGAAACGAGCATTGTGCACAGTTGTTGGTATTTGTTCATGTTCTCTATTGGTTGCCGGAGCTGGTACTAATTTTTACCTTTTTTTTGTCATTTTTTTTGCCGAAAAATTACAGCCTAACTTGCTTAGGTACTCCGTTAATCCATCAGCTCGGACATTTGTTTCAGCTGTTGTGTCTTGTTCGTTCGAAGGAGTCAAGAGTTTCACTTTTATTCCGCTGCTCATACTCTTAAATCGTGAGCCAAGAGTTACTCTATTGTTTTGAAGATGGCATTATCAGTCTTGACTTTATTGAAATCTCTGCTTATTCTCTTTGAGCTGTATCTGAATAGCCCAGGGCTGCTAGATTTATTTGCTGTTGCGAATAAACTTAAGGCGTAATCGGTTCCACTAGCTGCTCATGGGGCTTAGCGAAAACCGCCAGTTGACACTACTGGTACATTTCAGTGCCTGGCAAATAACTGATTTATTCTATCTAACAAATATCCTGGAGAATTTGTTATTACGAGCAATAATCATGTTCAAGAAAACGTTTTGCAGATCGAGTGCAATGTGGCGGTGTTGTCTCATCAGTAACTAGGCGACGCGTGGATGTGTATGCATGCCCAACAAAACTGCATTCTGAGGAGGAAAATCGGTGCTGTGATCCGCCTGAATTTAACTGCTGCCGAGAACCAACATTTTTTGAGAACTAGTAAGATTTGTGCATTTCGATGATAAATTAGTACGAGTGCATGCCAGGAAATCAAAACTTTGTCAGTACGATCACATGTTTCTGCACCAGACTTGAAGTACTCAGGTCATCAACTACATGAACGATTATTGCTTTACATCCACCTTTTGCACTCACTAGCGAGAATCAACATAAATTTCGCATAAAGTAATGTACATTTCCATTTAACGGTCGTCCTTTGAAAGTAACATAGTTGTTCAGTAAGCATTTTTCAAGCCAAAACATTAAAGTGCCCGTACGTCAGAAACACGAATGCCTGAAGGTTGAGTTTAAAATATTTAAGTTGTACTTGGGCAGGGAATACTCCCCCAAAATTTCAGCTTTCTTGCTTTTCTGGTTCCTGATTTAGCAATTTTTGCCGTCAAAACCTTCACATGTCTGTACTTGGGTACCCCACGTACTTAGGAAGCGGAGTTTGAAATCCATAAATTGCACGTGAACAGAGAACATTCCCTTAAAATTTCAGCCTTCCAGGTTTTTTAATTACCGAGTTAGCAGTCTCCCTGCCAAAACTTTCACATGCTCTTACTTGAGTACCACGCACACCTGGGGCTGAATTTGAAATCTTTAGCTCACACGTGCACAGGGACTATCCCTACAAAGTTTCAGCCTCCTACTTTGTCTTATCCCCGAGATCGCTTTCCAGCCAAAAAATTTGCGTATTTTCTAAGGCGTCCGTACGCGGCACCCAGGCGTATGCGAGGGAATGATATTAAAACTAAGGGTCGCACATGGTATAGGCACATACTTCCGAAATTTCAGCCTCCTTGCTTTTCTGGTGCTCGAGTTGAAAGCGGGTGACAGAAAGTGCGAACACACACACAGACAGCTTCTTCCCAGTATGCACTTTTGCAATTTGCATATGCACAAAAAGCATAATTACCATCAGCCTCTTTGGAAGTAGTTCTTGAAAGAGACAGTCATCGACAATCTTACCAGCTGGTGGTTGCTTTTGGCACTTGCTACTCTCGAAATACATTCTATGGCATCTGCCTCTCACAAAGAGCAATTAAATTGGTGAGAGTTTTGATTTTTGGTAAATGTATTTATATTTCAGTTTAACTGTGATATTTTGCGTCGCTTTGGTAGCAGCATTTGCGGCCCTGACTGCGCTTAGCACTGTGTGCCTATGTTGGGAGAAGTGCCTCTTGCACAAACTTGTCCGCCGGAGACCAACGCTTGATTATATGGGTAATTTTCGAATCACTGTAATTGCTAGCGTCAAATCTGCGGTAAAAAAAAAAAATTCAGATTTGTCGAAGGTCATTTCTTGCCGGTGCTGTTGATGCCATCATTACCTAGAGCTTTTCCAGTTATTCGTGAAATTGGAAAGCTTATGTTCTTGCTGTTATTACAATTAGCAGTTTGGTTTTCGTACCGAGTAGTAGTTGGCTGCTTTTCTAGCTGTTTCGGCGAGTGCCGCACTGCTTGATAGTCAGCCTTGCTCGCGATCCTGGCTTCGTTTCATTTGCCTTTTGATAGCGTGAAATTGAAGTGTTGAAGTGTCGAATGTAAATAGACTACTGTACAATTTTCCAGAATTTTCCTCCGTGATTCAAAGCCCGTCCTCAAAACACGAAAATGTCATTCTTTTACATTAAGATTTCCATTACAGTACAATAGGGCAAGAAGAAATTAAGGTCAGCTGTCGCTGTTTATTTCAAAAATTCATATTGGAGAATTTTTAGCGCGACCGGAAGAAACGGAACATTTGAATGGAATAAGCGTGCCAAGTGAACATTCCGCAGAAAAGCGGACCTACGAGGTGAATTCGGACATCGTCTATCGGCTCAACAAGGATTCCCTGTGAAATTCACTTCCAACCAGTCACTAATTCCAGTTGCAAGCAGCCGTCAAAACAACGGATTTGTGAACAGTAATGTGGAAGTTTAACAAAGGAAAACGGAGAGTCCAGTGTTAAACTCTGTGGTTCGATGTAACTAATGTATCAGTAAACAGTGGGTTGTGGGCGTAGAGAATGAGATTATGCAGATTACACCTGGCGTAGACATGGTAAAAAATTTCTGGCTAACAGCATCAGAAACACCGCTGTTTTGCAACTTTCCAACCGTGGAAAAAGCACATGAATCGGATTTTGGTTTACTGGGCTTTTCCCAATTGCGCAGTCGCTTTCAGGCGAAAATGACCTTAGCTGAACGTTAAATGCCGAAAGCCTGCTCCCCAATTGCTGCATAGCTATGAAATTTTTTCCTCAGTTGCTATGCAACCATTGATACTTTGATTTAATCCGACAGCCGCTCGAATGCATCAAATTTCGGATTTGTCGAGCATTATTTTTTTGTATTAGAAACGTGTACTTATAAAAACTTATGATAACATCCGTTTTTGGCGTTTAAAAAATAACTTCGGATGGGGAGATCGCAAGTTCTATTTTCAGCATATATAACTTCCGGCAATTTTTCTTCTTTACTCCCAGGGTTCGGCAAAATTTGCGGTTGCGTAGAGGGTGATTCAAATGTCCAGATTTTCCAAATAACCATGACTTGGTGAGCAACAGGATGCTTATCAAGCTTACCGGCAAAATTAGGCGTATCCGAGGGATGTGTAGTTTGTGAAAAAGCTGCAAAATAGAGCATAATGAAGCAATTAACAGTTCGCACTGAGAAATGGTACAGATGTATGGTTTTCCTATATGTTGTTGCAATTGCCCAGCCGGTGAATGTTAGGATACAATCGATGCTATAATACTCCTCATCATGGCCTTTTGTTCAATTCAACGTGTGAAAAGTATCGAAATTTCAAATTTAGGTCTTGCTTGCTACTGGATTCACAATATCAGTATTTCAGCTTGTTTATTTTTTACTGAATTAGCATAGAATTAATATTATTCAGGAATATAGTCAACTGTTAGCAAAATTTGTTTGAGACTCAGCTATACATCTAAACCTCGTCAGTACAATATGGCAAATTTTATTTAGATTTTTCCCCCGGCACAGAACAGGAAACAAAAAAATATGGAAGCTAATTTTGAATTACTTGACAGAACTAATACGGGCAAGCATAATCCAGGAATTCCAGTTTCTAACTTTCTCTCACTCTGCTTTAATCTACAAAATCAGCCAGAATTGGGGTCCAAATTCATATACTACATGGCGTGTGCTGTAAACTAATTTTCAGTCATCTGCTTAGAACTGTGTTTGAAGAAATTGTGTTTCACCATTTCTGATGATTTTTACTTCGATGTTTTCTTGGCTATCGAGTGTGTAAATTTGAATTTGAGGGCATAGTTCAGAATACAAGAGAGGTGCTGGTGAAATTTAATTTTGTAGCCTCCACCTGAGGTCTTATCATCAGAATTTGGGTTCATTAACTTCACATTTCTAAGGTTGAATTGTCAGGGCGCACACATACACACAAGACATGATCTCGCCCTAGCTGATTGTTATTTATTTGCTTAATTGATGTTCACATAAAAATGATGAGAACATGAATGTAATCTTTCGTTTGCATCAGGAGTAGGAGCAGAGTGGAAAAACAAGTTTAAGCAAAATGAAAGAGGCTTATTAGTAGTCACGAGCAGCGCCAGAATGAGGCCGGAAGAGGCGTGCAGTGGAGAAACAGTCAGCACAGCACTGCTGCTCTGGGTCCGTTCTTTCTTTGCACCAATTTGAAATTTTTATTTTTTAAAATTAATTCTAACTGTAGGTGTGCATACCAGGGTCGTTAGGGTCTGGTATATCTGGATCCGACTTGTGAAAGCATTCCAGTAACATCACTGACACAGGATAACCACACTGAGAGCCTGAGCGCCTTGCGCTAGTTCTGGTAACTTCTGGAAGATATTTCGATACTGAGAGGAGTGACTGTAGAACTGTGTTGGTGAGTTTGTAGGTTAACAAATGTAGAATAAAAATTAGCAGTAATAAAGCAGCAAAGATCGAAGGATTAACGGTAACAGATGGAAAAGAGGAAAGGGGATAGCAAAATGAAAAATTAGCTGAGAAAATTTTACTTTTGAGTTAAAACAAATAGCACCGCAGAACTGACGGCAGTACACCCAGTCTAGTAATGTTTTAAGTAAACTTCATTCTTCCCGATTAGGTAACTCTACCAATACGAAGAATAATAAGGCCATCGGGGCGGCATGTGGGAATTCCATGTCACTGATGTTACGGGGATTTTTTCCCATACCTTGCGTGAAGCTGTGCCAGGTCCTTTTGTCTCATAGGCGGATCCAGAACGAACTCTCGAAGGGGGAGGGAGAAAGTGGAGCTTCCCGGGGAGCGGAAGGGGGCGGGGGGGGGGGGG